GAATAGTGGGAAACTAGTAGACTGGGAAATCTTTAAAGGCCAACAGAAAGCCACAAAAAAAGTTATAAAGAAATGTAAGATAGATTATGAGAATAAACTAGCTCAGAATATAAAAACAGGCAGCAAAAGTTTCTATAAATATGTAAATCGTAAAAGAGTGGCGAAGGTAAACATTGGTCCTTTAGAGGATGAGAAGGCCAATTTAGTAACTGGGAATGAGGAAATAGCCGAGATGTTAAACAGTTATTTCGTGTTGGTCTTCACAGTGGAAGACACAAATAACATGCCGAAAACTAATAGCAAGAAGGTTATAGTAGGTGAGGACCTAGAAACTATCATTATCGCTAAGGAGGCAGTGCTGGGCAAGCTAATGGGGCTAAAGGTAGACAAGTCTCCTGGCCCTGATGAAATGCATCCCAGGGTACTAAAAGAGGCGATGGGGGAAATAGCAAATGCACTAGTAATTATTTACCAAAATTCACTGGACTCTGGAGTGGTTCCCGCAGATTGGAAAACAGCCAATATGACGCCACTGTTTAAAAAAGGAAGTAGACAAAAAGCAGGTAACTATAGGCCAGTTAGTTTAACGTCGGTAGTGGGGAAAATGCTTGAATCTATCATTAAGGAAGAAATAGCAAGACATCTGGATGTAAATTGTCCCATTGGGAACACCCAGCATGGGTTCATGAAGGGTAGGTCATGTTTAATTAATTTGATGGAATTCTTTGAGGACATTACTTGCATGGTGGACAATGGGGAACCTGTGGATGTGGTGTATCTGGATTTCCAGAAGGCATTTGACAAGGTGCCACACCAAAGGCTGCTACATAAGATAAAGTTGCATGGTATTACAGGTAATGTATTGGCATGGATAGAGGATTGGTTGACCAGTAGAAAGCAAAGAGTAAGGGTAAATGCGTGTTTTTCTGGTTGGCGGTCAGTGGCTAGTGGTATGCCTCAGGGATCAGTGTTGGGACCTCAATTGTTTACAATTTACATAGATGATTTGGAGTTGGGGACTAAGTGTGGTGTGTCAAAATTTGCAGATGACACTAAGGTGAGTGGTGGAGCAAAGTGTGCAGAAGACACTGAAAGTCTGCAGAGGGATATAGATAGTCTAAGTGAGTGGGCAAAGGTCTGCGAGATGGAGTACAATGTTGATAAGTGTGAGGTCATCCATTTTGGTAGGAATAACAGCAAAATGGACTATGTTTTAAATGGTCAAAAATTGCAGCACACTGCTGTGCAAAGGGACTTGGGTGTCCTTGTGCATGAATCGCTGAAGGTGGGATTGCAGGTGCAGCAGGCGATTAAAAAGGCAAATGGAATTTTGTCTGCCATTGCTAGAGGGATGGAGTTTAAAAACAGGGAGGCTATGCTGCAGCTGTATAGGGTCCTGGTGAGGCCACACCTGGCGTACTGTGTGCAGTTTTGGTCTCCTTACTTGAGAAGAGATATACTAGCACTGGAGGGGGTACAGAGGAGATTCACTCAGTTGATTCCAGAGTTGAGAGGGTTGGATTATGAGGACAGACTGAGTAGACTGAGATTATACTCAATAGAATTCAGAAGAATGAGGAGAGATCTTATAGAAACATATAAGATTATGAAGGGAATAGATAAAGTGGAGGCAGGGAGGTTGTTTCCGCTAGCAGGTGAAACTAGGACTAGAGGGATTCGCCTCAAAATAAAGGGAAGCAGATGTAGGACTGAGGTCAGGAGGAACTTCTTCACCCAAAGGGTTGTGAATCTGTGGAATTCCCTGCCCAGTGAAGTGGTTGAAGCTACCTCGCTGAATGTTTTTAAGGCAAGGCTAGATAAATTTTTGAACAGTGAAGGAATTAAGGGTTATGGTGAGTGGGTGGGCAAGTGGAGCTGAGTCTCAAAAGGATCAGCCATGATCTTATTAAATGGCGGGGCAGGCTCGAGGGGCCAGATGGCCTACTCCTGCTCCTAGTTCTTATGTTCTTATGTCACCCAGGGAGTGAGAGGGGGAGTTAAAATGGTTCATGACCGGTAGGTGTTGTCATTTCCTTTATTCATTCAATGGGTTGAGAGCATTGCTGGCTCGGCAGCATTTATTGCCCATCCCTGATTGCCCAGAGGGCAGTTCACAGTCAACCACATTGCTGTGGGTCTGGAGTCACATGTAGGCCAGACCAGGTAAGGCTGGCAGTTTCCTTCCCTAAACAACATTAGTGAACCAGATGGGTTTTTCCTGACAATAGTTTGTTGCGAACAGAGTGTAGGTGCTCTACAAAGCAGTCTCCAAGCCTCCGCTTGGTCTCACCAATGTTGAGGAGGCCACATCGGGAGCAGCAGATGCAGTCGACCACATTGGCGGATGTGCAGGTCAACCTCTTGTCTGCTGTGAAAGGTTTGTTTGGTTCCTTCGATGGAGGTGGGGGTGGGGGCAGGTGTATCACCTCTTGTGGTTGCAGGGAAAGGTACTGGGGGTGGCAGGGCTGGTGGGGAGTGTGGAGCCGACGAGGGAGTCATGGAGAGAGTGGTCCCTACGGAAGGTAGATAGGGGTGGGGAGGGAAATATATCCTTGGTTGTGGGGTCAGATTGCAGGTGACAGAAGTGGCAGAGAATGATACGTTGAATCTAGAGGTTAGTGGGGAGATATGTGAGGACAAGGGGAATTCTGTCTTTGTTTTTATTGTGAGACCAGAGGTGCGGGAAATGCAAGACATGCGGTTGACAGGATTTTTGACCACTGAAGTGGCGGGGGAAGGGTGTGGCGGGTGGGCAAGTTACGGTCCTTGAAATAGGACGACGTCTGGGATGCCCCATCTTGGGAGCAGACGTGGCAGAGGCTGAGGAATTGGGAATAGGGGATCGCATTCTTGCAGGAAGGTGGGTGAGAGGAGGTGTGGTCTAGGTGGCTGTCGGAGTCGGTGGGCTTGAAATAGATATCAGTTTCGAGGCAGTCACCAGAAATGAAGACAGAGGGGTCCAGGAAGGAGAGGGAGGTATCAGAGATGATCCAGGTGAACTTGAGGTTGGGGTGAAAGGTGTTAGTAAAGTTGCGGAACTATTCATGGGAGCACAAGGCAGTGCCAATACAGTCATCAACGTAGCAGAGGAAGAGGTAGGTGATAGTGCCAGTGCCAGTGTAGCTGCTTAACAGAACTCTTCCTTACCTTTAACTTCTCCTTCAACTCCTCCCACTTCCTACAGACTAAGGGGGTGGCCATGGGAACCCACATGGGCCCAAGCTAGGCCTGCCTCTTCGTAGGATACATGGAACAGTCCCTCTTCTGCAGCAACACTGGCCCCATCCCCCACCTCTTCCTCCGCTACATCGATGACTTTAACCTCATCAACTTACTTAATACCTTCTCCCTAGTTATAGTAATTTCACCAAGTTTCTCTGTAGTAATTACAATTTTTGGGAAGAAATTACCTTTCACTGTGAAAACGGACAAAATATTGGTTTAGTACCTCTGAAATTTCTGTTTCCCATTATTACTTCACTATTTTTGTCCTCTAAAGGGCCAATATTTACTTACGTTACTCACTTCCTTTTTATATATTTATAGAAGCTTCGGTGTCAGGGCTTATGTTTTCTGCTAAGTTCCTTTTGTGGCTCATCTTGGCTTCTTTGATTTTGTTTTTCATAACCTTTTGCTGATCTTTAAATTTTGTTTAACGTTCTCCCAATCCTCCAGATATGACATGCCCTAGTTTTTGTCTGTTATCTTCGACTTCCTTGTTAAGTCATGGTTTTTCATTTTTTTTTACTATTCTTCTTCCTCTCGGGAATATACTTTAATATAGAGGTATTTAGTATCTACCGAAGCATTTACCATTGCTCTTAAACTATCCCGCCCTTTAATATTTTTTCCCAGTCAATGTGGTCCAATTCCTTCTTCAGGCCTGAATAATTACCTTTGCCCAACATTAGAACTCTAATATACAACTCTGTCTTCACTCTTTCAATGTGAACTTGAAACTCTAGGACGTTGTGATCATTCCTTCCAAGAGGGTTCTTAACTACAAGAACATTTGTCAATCCTTCCTCATTGCATCCAAAGCAGCCAGTTCTCTAAGAAGCAATCCCTCAGACGCTTTCCTCAAGGCCACCCTTGCCAAGTTGATTAGTCCAGTCCATACACGTTAATATCATCTATAATTACCATTGTGCCCTTCTCATAAGCCATCATTATATCCTGGTTTATACCATGCCCTACTTTGGAAGTACTGGTCGGGGCTTATAAATTATTCTTACCAAGGGGTTTCTTGCCTTGCTTTTTATTTCCACCCAGATTGATTCAACATTTTGATCCCTGGTGCCAATATCATTTCTTAATACAGTCTTGATCCTTAACCAATAAAAACAACCCTACTTTGTGCTCCTTCTTATTTATCCTTCTGGGATACTGAGTATCACTGGACATTTGACTTCCAGTCCTGATTTTCCTGAAACCATGTTTCAGTAATCCCCACCAGGTTGTACCCATTTATCTCTATTTGTGCCACCAGCTTATCAACTTTATTCCAAATACTGAGAAATTTAGCTACAAGATTTTTAAACAATTTCTATTGATTTGTCTTTCTCAGAAAGAAGCAAGAGAACTTAGTCACTAATGCTTACTCTAACAATGAGCATCTGATCTTTTGCCTCTTGACATATTAGGCTTACTCACCCTGCCATCTTTTCATCTCTTTTGGGACCAGAAAATCTTACTTGATAGCTCAGGAAGAGAAAAATTCAAATATTTTGATGCTTTCTTTGATAGCAAAGCCTTCAAGTTGTCACAGCCCTGGGCTCAGGAATTCTTCTACAGATTGTACTTTTGCCTCTCAATGTCCAAGCTTCCTCAACACCCAATTTTATGGCCAAACATTTTACCATCCTTTCGAGTCTCACCTACCCTGCCACATCATCTATTTATTTCTTATGAGAAGTATGTTTTTTTTTACAAAACAAGTTAAAATAACTATATAAATGCAAGTTGTTGTTACGAATGAAAAAAAAAACAAACACAAATACATTTTTTTTTTTGTTTTTTTTTTATAGAAAAGCTGCAATGAAATGAAAATGACCAAACTATATTTTGGTCTTTCTTATGAGCAGTTACCTTAAAAAAAAATTGATTTATTTACAGGATGAAGCATCATAAAATGACAGACACAATATATTTACACCATAATAAAAGGACAGCTGGCAGATCTTACAACAGGAACTTCTGAATCCTGCTTGGACCTCAAAGACGTTATTTTGGTAACTTCTATTCACAATACAAAAGTAATTTGACCTCAGTCAGCCTTCTTGTCTGAGCTACTTAAACTTTCATCAGAGGCGGTAGATGACTGTGCATTTTTAACTGTTCCCACATCATCACTGTCATCTTTTGTCTGCAATACTTTGTACCGCTGAAGTTCAAGGTAGGTGGTAAACAGCTTGGCATACTCTGGATGTGCCAGAGCAAATTCGCGGAATATTTCTAGGAATGAAAAGAAATGCTTCATCAGAAGAGAATTCATTTCTCATACTTCAGACTGCCATTTACACTTTTCCCTTGAAGGTGTTTCACACCATTTCAAGAAATTGCAAAATATTAGAAACCAACATTTGCACTGTTGCTACATTGCCTCATGTGAATCACGCCACTGCCAGCGAGGTAGTGCATCTTCAGTAAAAAAAAAAAAGGATAGAAAAAAGAAACGTGAGATTTAACCACCAATGGCAAATGCACAATCCAACATCCTGGAAGCTCGTGTCCAATAAAAGCTGTTTCTAAAACGAGACGGTGAAATGGTAAAAGCAACAAGATGGTAGGAAATCCCAGAGATCTGCGATAACATGGTTTCATCAGAACAATTCCTTCAAGGCATTAACTCTGAACAGGAACACTACCAATGTGGTATGATTGGGGGGGGGGGGGGGAGAGAGAACAAAGATTGGTGACAATATCTCCAAGTGGAGGGTGAGAAATATCTCCCATGAATATAAAAACTCCAACCAAATCCTTGAACACTGCTTAATGGAGTGACCCCTGTCTACATCCTGCACAGCTAAACCTAACAACACTCTTATGTTCCTAAGAAATGGCAGGCAAACAAATATTTTCTAAATGGAAATCATTTCCTTCTTTTAAAAAAAAGTGTGAAGGGTGAAATATCCTCAAGGCCTGCAATTTTTAATGTGAAAAATGTATTGATTAACTTGACTCCAACTGATCCAAAACATTTTCCTACATATCTTACCACTAAATTAATATATTAATGTACTTTTCTCCTACTTACTGCTCACTTTCCAGCTTCTACAACGTACTTGTGCTTTCTTTCTCTCTCTGCCACTTGCTCCTTCTCTCTCCCAACTCCCTCCCAGCCATCTCTCATCTTCTCTCTCACTATTTGTCTTTGCTCCCTCCTACCCACTTGCTGCTCTTTTCAGCACTGCGTGAGGGCACCTGGGAGGTAGCAAGTGCGGTATCGAGAACGCAGACACTGAGCAGGGAGTGTCAGACAGCATGAAGGCATGCAGCAGGAAAACTGAATAGTATTTGGCAACAAGGTGTTCAGGAGAGGCAGCAAGCAGGTTAGCAGAGATGCCGAGCGGGAACCAGTGAAGGGCTAGGGAATGGCCTAGCAGCTGCTGAGGTGCTCATCGGCCTGCAATCAACTGGAAAGTCATTGAATTAATGATAGCTTCCAATCATAATGTCAAAACAGTAAAAACCCTGAGAAAATTAGACTAGTTGAATGAGGTGTAACTTTGTTTTTAAAAGCATATTAACTTAATAAATTACTTAAAAAACCTAACTTTATTTTAGTGAAATGTCAAATTTCTCCCACCGACTTGGACAGCAATTTTGACAACCTTCCTCGCAACTGGTTTCCTTTAAGCATCCTTCCATACCTGCCTCTTTCATCAGTCAAGGCTATCAGAGTGGTTGAGAGCGTATTCAATCATGTCCGTTTCATTACCTGCTCTTCTGCAGCTCTCACCCTGCCCATCTGTCAGACCAAGAACCACGGTAGGATTTACTCAACGGCCATTTCACCAAGCAGCCTACTAAAGAAATGATTCTCTGCCAACTCTGCCCTTACAGCATGCAATCACTGAAGATTTCTTCCTTCTCCCTTTCAGTATTCCACAGAACCCTTCTTTTTGTGATACTCTGGTCCACTCCTCCATCAGCTGCTCATGTTCCTCCACCCTTTTCAAAGTCCAAGGCTTCAAACATTCCTTCTAGGTGAAGCATCAACTTATTTGTGCTTTCAATTTAATATACTGTATTTGCTGCTCACAAGAGCGTCTCCTCTATATTGGCAAGACCAATGCAGACTTTTGATTGCTTTGCAGAACATCTCTGTTTATCTACAAGCATGACCTAAGCTTCTGGATACTTGACAGTCCAACTCCCTATCAAACTCTCACTGACATTTCTGTCCTTGGCCTCCCACAGTTTTAGTAAAGTTCAATTCAAATTTAAGGAATAGCATCATATTTCTTGGCTGTCCACTTTACAGCCTGCCAAGCACAAGAATGTGTTCAATAATTTAAGATCACAGTCCCACTTTCAATTTTGTATTTGGATGGCAGCTCCAGGTGACGATTCTGCTTTTTCCATTTACACCTTCTCTAAATACATCTGTTGATCTTAATTGTCCCATTAGAATCTGTTTTTGCTGAGCATCCTCATCCTTTTTATCATGTGATCTCCCTTGCTTTCTAGGTAATCACATCTCTTTTGTTCTTATCGCGACATTCACCTTTGCTTAAAGTACTGCTCTGATGGGGGTCATTGACCTAACCAGGAGAGTATTCGAATAGTTAAGTCTAGAGTTAAAAGAATATAGTTGAGAGTTTAACCAGAAGGTTTGCTGAGGCAAGTGTGCAGAAGGTTAATTCTATGGAACCAGGATTAGACAGTCTGAGTGATAGCAAGGATCTGGCTTCGGAAACTTGGCTCAAGGTCAAATAGGATGCCAAGGTAACAATACTCCAATGTGACCAGACAGGGTAGCCATGGAATCATTAGGAATGAGTAGCTAGGGAATGAAATTTGTCATGGGGTCATGGAAAATGGCTTTGGTTTTCCCAATATCAAACCAAGAGAAATTCTGTTCATCTAGTACTGGATCTGAAAAAGCAGCAGGATAACAAAGACAGTGGAGGTGTTAAGGGAGGTAGATGGCCATAGAGCCATACAGCACTGAAACAAAACCTTGGGTCCCACCACCAGTCCATGCCAACCAAGTTTCCCAAACTAAACTAGTACTGCTTGCCGGTGTTTGGCCCATATCCCTCTAAACATGTCCTATTCATGTACCTGGCCAAATGTCTTTTAAATGTTGTAACTGCACCTGCATCTACCACTTCTTCTACCAGCTCATTCCACAGACAAACCATCCTGTGTTAAAAACTTGCCCCTCAGGCCCATTTTAATCTTTCTCCTCTCACCTTAAAAATATGCCCCTGCTATTCACTTATCTCTGTCCTTCATGATTTTATAAACCTCTACGGTCACCCCACAAACTCCTACGTTCCAGTGAAAAAAGTCCTGCGTATCCTTAAAACTCAAACTCTCCGGTTGCGGCAACATCCTGGTAAATCTTTCTGAACCCTCTGATTTAGTAATATCCTTCCTCTAGCATTCTCCAAAAGTGGCTGGTTTTAGTTCTAAACCCAGGCAGACTGATTGCCTACAGTTAAGGAAAAGCCTTTTCAAATCTGCCATGCTGCTAGATGGGTCTTTATGACAATCGACAGGAGTTCATCGACAAGGTTTCCATAGTCACCATTAGATTATTAATTACAGATTTATGAATTGAATTTTAAATTCCACTAACTGCCAAAAGGTGGGATTTCAATCCATGCCACTAGAGCACTAGTCTGGCCCTCTGGGTTACTCGTCAGTGACTTTATACCACTACAGCGCTGCCTTCCCTGATCATTGTGGCTCAAAGGGTTTCAAGAAGACCTTTCGTGAAGAAGGGAAGAAAGTTAGTCGTTACAAAAACGACCCTAGAATAATGAGCAGTTTCAGCACAAAACAGCAGAATCCCATAGTGCTTCAAGATAAATAGAAGCAATACACTATGGATGCTAGTAATCTGAAATAAAAACAAAATATGGAAACATTCAGCAGGTCTTTAGGCAGGATCGAAGACAATTGACCTGAATGTTTATTCTCTATCCAGAAATATTGCAAGACTTGTTGAATACCTCCTGCACTTTGGATTTACAAACCAGATAGTGCTTAATGTTATCTCGTCAGATCTGACAATAAACAGACAACTCATTTGCTCACCATAAACACTCAAGTCTGCATTCCAGTGACTTAATGAAGGTGGGAACCAATAAGAGAAATATCAAATGGGAAACTTTTAAGTGTTTTATTGGCAACAAGAGGTCGCACATAGAGACAAGGGTGTAATTAAAAAAAAATGGACAGCTCAAGTATTTTGGCAAATGGAGAGCCAAAAGCTGAACCATTGTAATTTACTTGAGGGTGTACAGCAGGGAGGTAGAGGTAGTGAGCAGAATTTTTCCCAGGGACAGATACAGATGAAGGAACTAGCATTTAAGGCTTCTGCTTCTAAGTATTATTCTGTACCATACCTACATATATGTTATGGCTCTCTAATGTTTGGTCATTGATTCTCATTTGTATACCTTTTCAAAGTCAATGAAGAGCTGTGGTACCTCACTCCTATCTTCACAAGGTGAAAAAAAAGTCAGAGGGGAATCTATTAAAACTATTTTTTAGAACTGTTTTCACATTTCCACTAAATGTAGAGAAGACATGAAAACATTCTCTCGTGACTTGAAATTGCACAATTAAATTTACTCACCATACGAGATCTTTCCAATACCTTTCACGTCTATATCTGAGAATAATTTGGAAACGTCAAGATCATGCACACCCAAAGAGGATCTCAGGAGAGCAGCAAACTCATCTTCACTTATATATTCATCTCCATCCAAGTCAAATAACTGTGAAATGAGCAGAGAGAGAATCCGCTTAAAATATTCATATATTAATCAATAACTATAGTTTGATAAATAACTTTACACCATGCAAACGACAAAACAGCATGAAAAATCAGCAAACATGTGGAAAATAGCATGATTATCTTGACTCCCAAGCTATTTGCTAATTTTTTGAATTTTAAAGTGAAAGTCAATTCTTTTCAAATAATAAATAAATACTCTTTCTCACCTTTGATTGATTGAAATTCATTGACGATGTAAGCACAGGCAGTTTCTATGAGATTTTTTGTACCAAGGAACCAACTGACTCAAAGTAATTATACAAAAGACTCTGGACTCAATCACTAATGTCAGGAGCACCTACCTCCTTTTTATATCATGGGATCCTAACAATTTTATGTTTCGCAACACCAGCCGGAAAAGAAGCAAGGAAGTTCCGGGATGGCCAGAGGAAAGAAATGGAATCTGGTGTCAGGTACAGATTTTGGGAAAGACTTGCAGCAAGCATGAGAACTTTTTCACAAAGCAAGTGATAATAACCTAGAAGTTGCTGCCCATGAGAACAGTAGAGTTACAGGCAGTTCTGCTATAACAAGTATTTTGTTAATGCAAATTGGCTATAACGCAACTGATGAATAATGGACGCTGTTTGAATAACACAAACTTTCTGCTGTACAGGTATAGTGACTTCCCTATAAAGTGATTTTCTATATGGTGATTTTCCATAGCACGAGGTCTCGCAAGAAAGCAACTGTTACATTACAGAACTACCTGTAGTTAATAATTTCAAAAGGAAATTGAATTGACACTTCAAGGAAATAACCTCGCTGGGTTATTAGGATTGCATGAGGGGAGCTGGCATGGACTCTACAAGTTGAATAGCACCCTTCAGTGCCATGTGACTATTTCCTGTTCTCACATCCACTGATCAGCAGCTGTCATATCATTCAATAGAGAATTAGTAATTCACAAGGATGCAAGGTTCTCATACTAATCCAGCTTCTAAGGAGGCAATGGATGATAAAATATATTTAGACAGACAAACTCTTGACACTAAGGGATTGTTTAACCAGTCTAAAGGTTGTTTTCTTGTTGTTTGTTGTTCTTGTATTTCACGAGCAGGAGGTATTAGGCAGTAAATGCCCCAAAATCAAAAGCATCTCAAAAGGAAGACATCCTTTTCATTTTCTCTGCAGAACAGTTTGATGATAGTGAGACCCTATGCCAGGAAAAATGGCAACCAATTGTTTTTAACAGGTTATTTCGAGGATATGTTAACTCTACACATACAAAGATTTCATTCAATTTGGAAAATGTAGTGGATAGCAAAATCAACAGCTCAAACTCGTCTTCGGACAATATTGTACTATTTTTACCTGAAATGCAAACTTAATAGTTTCCTCTGTATTGGCAGGACTACAAAGAACCACCAAACCAATTATATATTCTCTGAAATCGATGGTGCCATCGCCATTCTAAAGAGTAAGACAAAACATCAACTGGTTACGTTTATATCGATCTCCATTACAACTGCATGATTGTTGAACTTCAAATAACTTTGAGGAAATTAAATGGACGCTTCAATGAAATAAACTCGCACGGCTATCAGACTGTACAGGGGATTGGGAACAATTGGAATGATCCATAGGGAACTGGCATGGCCTGAATGGCCACTTTCAGTGGCATGAATGACTATTTCCTGTTCTCACATCCACTGATCAACAGGTGTCATGTCATTCAACACAGGTATTAGTAACTCACAAGGAGTTACACCAGATATTGAAGAGGTAACAGAAAGGATCAATGAGGGCAATGCTGTTGACGTGGTATACGTGGATTTCCAGAAGGCTTTCAATGCAGTGCCACACAACACTTATTAGGAAAGTTATAGATCATGGTATAACAGGGACAGTAGCAACGCTGATATAAAACTGACTGAGTGATAGGAAACAGAGAGGAATGGTTGATGGATATTTTTTGGGTTGGTGGAAAGTTTGTAGTGGAGGTGCCCAGGGGTCAGTATTTTGACCTTCGTTTGTCCTGACTTATATTAACGATCTGTTTCTTGGTGTGCATACTATTTCAACATTTGTAGATGACACTAAACTAGGAAGAATTGCAAACTGTGAGGAGAACAGTGTGAACCTCAAAGGACATTGACAAGTTGGTGGAATGGGCGTATAGATGGTAAATGAGGCTCAATGCAAAGAAGTGTGAGGTACTACACTTTGGTCAGAAGAATATTAAAAGACCATATGAAATAGAGGGCATAATTCTAAAGAGGGTGCAGCAACAGAGGGACCTGGGTGTATACATGCATAGATCATTGAAGGTGGCAGGGCGGTGGAGACAGCAGTCAATGAAGCATATAGTGCTCTCAGATTTATTATTAGGGACACAGTACAGGAGCAGGAAGGTGATGCTGATCTTGTACAAAACACTGGTTTGATCTCAGGTTGAGTATTGTGTATAGTGTGGGCACCACATTTTAGTAAAATGTGAAACTTTAGAGATAGTGCAGAGGCAATTTACAAGAATAGTTCCAGTAATGAGAAACTTCAGTTACGATAGATTTTAAAAAAAAGGGACTGTTCTCCTTGGAGAGAATGCTGAAAGGAGATTTGATAGAGATTTTTGGATTCATGCGTGGGCTAGATACAGTAGTTAGGAAGAAACTGTTCACACTCAAAGGAAAAGGTGAGGGCATTGATTTAAAGTGATGTGCAAACAAAGCTAGGGTGAGGTGAGAAAAAACATTTTCACACAGCGAGTAGTTACAGTATGTGGAATGCATGCCTGGAAATGTGGTGAAGGCACGTTCAACTGAGGCATTTAAGAGGGCATTGCATGATTATGTGGATAGAAATGGTGTGCCGAGATACGTCAAAAAGGCAGAAGTTTAGCACTAGATAATGAGAACCGGTGTAGGCACAATGGGCCAAAAGGCTTCTTCCAATGCTGTAACAATTCTGTGATTTGTTATTTCTGTGAAATTGTGTTTGCAGCTATAGTATTGTATTGAAAAATTGATATAGCATTACTTTAAGTGTTCAATTTGGAAATATATGTTCATCTTGACTGAATCAAGTTGAAAATTCCATTTCCAGACTTACTTCTGCTGCAAACAGTAACTTGGCTTATTACTAAAATTGCTTAATTACTCAGTCATGGTCAATATTCTTCAAACTTTTAGAAATGTGACAAAAACTTGAGGAAAATTGTTTCTTCTTTCCTGATTATACATTTCTCCACTATGAAAACCATATATAAATAACCTACCCGATCAAAAAGAGCAAACACTTCCCTAAGTGGAGGTGTAACTGGCAGTTTCAAGTGATTTGCAAATTCTTCAATACCAATCCTTCCACCCTTGGATATATCGGCAATTGCAGCAAAATTGTCCAGTTGGCTCCTTACATTGTCCCAATTCAAACTATAAGAATAAAGCAAATAATTGGAAATTGTTCTAAGTTTGTTAGTTTAATTAGATATTTCTTACTGCGACTTTCCACTTTAGATAAAAGCCAGGGCTGTTTATCACTGGTAATGTTTTTATTTGAAGATTTATTATATCACATGCAATAGATAGATAAAACAGAAAGAGATAATGAAGTACTCTAAGTCTGTCTCTGTAATTTTATGTCTTCTATTGAGAACTACAAGATGGTCAGGAGGACAAATTCAACATGCTTCCAAAAAAATAATCCAGTGCATTTCCTCCAAAGCATAGGGATTAATTTACATTTTAATAATCACAATTTGACCTAAGCACACAACAGAAAACCCAACAATAACCAATCCAGAATACCAAGAATGCTGAAATGGAAAACTGATCTCTACGTGCAAATTAAACATTTGTTACCGCAGAAAATCTGATTTACATTGAATACAATATAAAAAATAGACAAAATAGTCAAGATAGCCATGACTATCTTGATGCCAAGACGAGCCACGATAGCGCTCGTCTTGGTGCTAGATGATTCTGGACTCGGAATCCAGATCACAGAACTTCAGCACACAAATCAAGGTTGCAAGTTGTACATGCAGGAAAGGGTTATTTGAACAATCATTGTCCTGCTTCACATTACTGACCTTAGCCAGATCCTACAAGTTAAATTATATTCTAAGTAGTTAGAACATGGTTACGGGTGATAGTGTTATGATATTTGTAGAGATCAATAAATTTTAAAGAGAAAAATGAATTTCCCATCCACTGATGGAAAGAATCACAAATCAAGATTTCTCTTTCAGAATTTTTTGATAATAAGTAAACTAAAAAGAACTGACACTACATATTATTTCAGCAATACATTAAAATTATGTTACAACACATCTTAATTTTACGACAAGCTCTCAGCACATATCCAAAAGTTAAGTTTCAAATTCCTCCTACCTTTCCGGTAGGCTGCCTTCTCCCTGCCACACCAGGGTGAGTCTTCCAGTACCCTTTGAAAGTTGTTCCACTGCTGGAGTATCTCCAAACCAGCTTCTAGCAGCTAAATCTATTCTGGAGACTCCTTTTCCTTAAATCTCCAAATGTCCTGTCTCTTCAAACAGAGAACTAGCTCCGATCAGCTAATGGCTACACAAAAAAAAAGTCTTTCCCATTGCTATTCACTGTAAGCAACAGTTGCTATTTGCCTTCCTATTTCTCCATGTATATGGTGTGTTCAGAATACCAGGTGCCCCTTCTTTTGTAACAAGGTAAGAAAACTGTCACTTGGTTTTCTATAGATTTTGCTCACAGGTGTCATGGACTGATCTGTGGGCATTAGCAATTTAGCAACCATACCATCTGTCCAGGTCATTTTGTTTTACCTTAAGTTAAAAGAGGCAGTTTAACATGTGTTATGAAGTGTTGCATTTATAACACTAGTGTGTGGTCATAATTTGGTCATGGCTGTATCATGTTTTGTTTGTTTAATTCATAAAAGCTCCAGCAGAATACCCGGCAAGAAGATCACAATATTCTTTCCCTTTGATTAGTGCATTAAATGGAAACTGCTTCACTTTGAGTGGGTTTCTAGAAAGTGAACATATGATTTTATTTTCTTAAACTCATCAACTGACTTTCAAACAAGCTTACAACACCAAATAACTGCTCTTCCATAACTGATTTTGATGGCCATCAGTTCTTGTTGAAACATAGCCATGACAGACCAGTCACAGAGCTGATAGTGTGTTTCCTGCTGATGGGTTCAAAGACAGGAAGATTCATACAATCCAGTGGGCGATCTTACAGTTAACTACTTACCAGTCCCTGACCTGTCTGAACTTTGAGGGCAGGGAGGCACCGAATGGCTCACCTACTGATGGGTTTATTGAGGTTGTAAAGTGGACAATTAATGGCCACTCAGGGGCCATGTTCTGCCCCCGTCAGTATTTTATTCATGACAGGGAAGCCAACGATATGTGGGAAGCTCAGCCCCTGCAGCTCCATTGACTGTTTTTGGGCCAGAGATAATTCGGGTGGGAACCTCCTACACAGGTCCCTGGGTCCATCAGAGGCACATGCTCACACAAGGTTATCACCTTCTTAACTTCCTCCCAACATCTTCAACGAAGGCTCCCTACTCTCCTCAATGGGGTACCTCCTCAGAGTTAATGCTTCAAGTCCAATGACTTCTTTTGAATAGCATTGCTGAATTCTAAGAGAGTCATATGACTTGAAGCGTTAACTCTGCTTCTCTCTCCACGTGTGCTGCCAGACCAGCTGAGTTTCTCCTGCACCTTCTGTTTTTGTTTCAGAAGCTTAATAAGTTCTGCCAAAGTCAGACTTTTATACTTCCCATTTTTGTATTTGGATTTGCACAAAATGCTTCTGTTGTACAACTACATTAAATGAAGATGTGTGCAAATACAGATGCATAGTTTCAGCTGTGAAAAACCAGAGAAAAACCAGTCATCAAACTGAACAAATGTTAAATGCTTAGAGGAAATCAGCATTGAAAACTAAGACAAATGCTTTGATGGCTGCGCATTTTAACTAGGAGTGTGGCAACAAATTAATACTTATTTCTAGCAATTTCTGATTTTGCAGCAAATTAATAAGACAGTTCTTCTCTGAGTCTTCCTCAATTTGAAGTAACTAAAATCTGTACCTTGAAAAAGAGGAGTGTGAAGAAGAAAGCTTTGCAACAGTGTGAGAAAGAAAACTGAAGCCTCTGGGTAAGGGACACCAGAATACAAGAAGTCAGACTAATCGAGTAGAAAACATCAAACATCTTACAAAAAGTCATTGTCAAAATGCTTTGCTACTGGAAGAGCACAATTCCTCCGTTTGGACTTGAAAAAAAATCAAAGTTGTTAGTCCTTTCTCTTTACATGTATATTTGGGAGCAATTTAAAATGCTTAACCTTTGATCACCAGCAGAGGTCACTGCCTTTCAGATTACATCAGATATTGTGTACAAGCATTGGCTTGAAAGACTGATTTGACACTAGTTCAAGATTAATTTGATCCAACTATTTTTGGGAAAAAAAATTATAATCTAAGTATTTATATTTTCATTTAAATATTCAAACTCCCAGCCAAAAAACAAGATTGTAAACTATCCCATATAGTCAGATTAGCATACTTGAGTTTTTTGTTAATTTTGGTAAACTCCACTAAGCCAGCTTCCATGGGCAAAGTCAGTTCACCGGCTGAAATCATCAATCTGCAATCTTCAAATGTGTGGTCTGTAATCGGCAGATCCAATGCTCTACAAAAATGACAAAAAACATTACAGCAAACATTTTACTACACCAACATAAATCATGATATTAACTGAACAATACTCAAGTTATTTACATTAGCAAGTCACATTTAGTAGCCAATTTATTTTGCTTACATAATAGAGGTGTACTAATATGATATTGTATTAAGTTCTCAAAATGATACTAAAAACCATCCCCAAAATGTGATAACAACAGTGAGGCTGAGTAATTATTGAAAATAAATAATTAGCCTTTTTTGTAGTCTTATGGCTTCCTGTTGCCAAACAAAGCGAAATAATCAGTCTGAGAAGGAACTTTATAAATGAAATTAAAAAATACAAAACAAGTAAAACTTGTTTCAAAGTTACTTACAAGGCCATAATATTACGAACTCTGCTACTATATAGGAGTGGATCACATTTTTCTTCTTCACTTGGTACATACACAGGCAAAAACTGAAAATGTTAAAGTGAAATTTTATTAGCACAATATTATTCAATTCTGACTTCAAAGGTATGAAATAGCTAAAGCACAAAAATGAAGCTAATTAGCAACATTAGATCAAACAGATTCTGTTTCACTTTTTGCCGAAGTATTGACAATGCTAACACAGAAATGGATGGTAAGACTGCATAATGTAAAACTGATCTAAAAATACAAAATAATCTATCAGATGAACATTCAACAGCATGACTTCAGTCTTTAAGAAAATGCTAGAGTCCATTAATAAAGGAAGAAATAGGAGGATTTAGAAAAAAATAACATTCAACACATTTTGTGAAAAGGAATTCACATTTGACAAATTAGCTAGAGTTCTTTGAGAATATAACAAGCAAGGTTGATAAAAGAGAATCTATACAAATAATATATTTGGATGCCAGAAGGAATTTCATAAGGTGCCACATATAAGGCATCAGGTAATCAAAGTGCTAAATGGGAGAATAGGTTATATAATGTTCTCTATTACAAGTGTCAAAGTATTTGACAAACCAATGGGAATGAAGGCAGACAAGCCCTCAGGACCTGATGGCCTGCATCCAAGGAAGTGGCTACGAAGATGGTGGTGGGGGCTGAGCGGCAGGTTTGATCAAAATATTACAGAACTTACTGGATTCTGGAAATCTCCAAGGAATTGGCAGACTGCCAATCTGATGCCCTTTTTCAAGAAAGGCGGGAGACAGAAAGCAGGAAACTATAGGCAAATTAGCCTAACATTTGTCATTGAAACAAATGCTATTATGGAAGAATAGCAGGTCATTTTGAAAAGCTTAATGCAACCAGTGTCAATATGGTTGTGAAAGGTAAATCATGTTTCACAGATTGGTTAAGAGTTCTTTGAGGATATAACAAGCAGAGTTGATAAAGGAAAACCAGTAGATGTAATAAATTACATTTCCAGAAGGATTTCAACAAGGTGTCACATAAAAGCTTATTGCACAAGAGCTCATGGTAGTGGAGGTAATTTATTTGCTTGAAGTGAGGATTGTTTAACACACAGAAGTTAGAATTGCAATTAATGGGTCTTTTTCAGCTTGGAAAGATGTAACTAGTGGCGTGCCACCAGGATCCTAGGGCCTCAATTATTTACTATCAATATTAATAACTTAGAGGAAGGGCAGTGTAATATATCCAAACTTGCCAATAAAATAAAAATAAATAGGTGTGAGGGTAAGTTGTGGCGAGGATGTAAAGAATCTGCAAGGTGAAAAAGGTAGATTGAGTGAATGGTCAAAAACCCGGTAGATGGAGTTTAATGCAGGAAAGTGAGAGGTGATGCACTTTGATGGGAAGAAGCAAAAGACAGACTATTATTTAAGTGGAGACAGATTCCAGGAAAATGAAGCAGAGGGTTCTGGGTGTTCCTGTGCATGAAACATAAGACGTCTGCATGTTGGTGCAGCAATTATTTGAAAATGACAAATGGAATTTTGACCTTTATCGTGAAGAGATTGGAGGGTTAAAACTGTAAACGGTGGTGTTGGTGGGGCCATGCCAAGTGTACAGTTTTGGTCCCCTGCTTTGGGAAAGGATAAATTGACATTGGAGGTAATTCAAGAGATTCATTAAACTAATTCCTAGGATGAAGGAGTTGACTTATTGAGAATGGCTAAGCAGGTTATGCCTTTATTCATCAGAGTTTAGAAGAATGAGGGGTAATCTTATTGAAACATATAAGGCTCTGAGGGGGCTTGACAGGGTAGATATTGAGATTTCTACTAGTGGAGGAATTGGCATGAGAGATACTCACTTGCTGGAGATGATCATTACTGGGCACTTTTGTGATCCAAACATTATTTACCACTTGTCAGCTCAAGCTGGGTCTTGCTGCATTTGGTCATGGATTATTTCAGTGTCTGATGGTGCCAAACAATGTGCAATCATCAGCGAACATCCCCACTTCCGACCTTATTCTGGAGGGAAGTTATTGATGAAACAGCTGAAGATGGTTGGGCTTAGGACACTTCCCCGAAGAACTCCTGTACAGATTCCCTGAAGCTGAGATGACTGACCTTGAACAACTACAAATATTTTCCTTTACGCTGGTTATTATTCCAACCAATGAAAAGTTTTCAACCCGATTCCTACTGACTCCAGGTTTGCTAGACTGCCTTGATGTCACATTTGGTCAAATACAGCTTTGATGTTAAGGGCAGCCACTCTCAACTCACTTCTGGAGTTCAGCTCTTTTCTCCAAGTTTGAAGCAAGTCTGTAATGAGGTCAGGAACCGAGTGGCCCTGGCAGAATCCAAACTGAATGTCAATGTTATTGTGAGTAAAGCTCTGCTTGATAGTATTATTGATGAGCCCTTTTATCACTTATGTTTGACAGTAAAATGATGGGGCAGTAATTGGCAGGTTGTAATAAACTATATTTTGTACAAGATACCAGGGCAATATCCCACATTGCCGTGTAAATGCCAGTGTTACAGCTGTACCAGAACAGGTTGGCTAAGGGAGGGGCAGGTTCTGGAACACAAGCCTTCAGTACAAATGCTGGAATATTATCAGGACAATGGCCTTTGTGGAGAACCTCCTCTATGGAGTTGCTCAATTGCTCACCAACATTTACATCTGGATTTAGTAGGACCACAGAACTTTGACCAGGTCCACTGGTTCTGCAATCAATTTGCAGAATTTATCAATTGCTGTTTACATGATTGGCGTGCAAATAGGACCATGTTGTAGTTTCATCAAGTTGACTGTTCATTTTTATGCCTGTCTGGTGTTTGTCCCTGCATGCCCTCTTGCACTCATCACTGAACCAGGATTGACCCCTTGGCTCAAACATAATGGCAATGGTAAGGGGTGGAGGGGATATGCCAGGCTGTGAGAACTGTGCAGTGGTCACCCCTCACCTCCAAGAACAGGTCAAGGAGGCAGGGATGAAGCCAGTACAGGTGAGTGTAGGTAGGGAGTTGGTCAGTGAGGAGGGAGGAGCGGATAGGTGGGAGAAAAGACGGACAGGTCAAGGAGGCAGGGACGAGATGGGACAGTGATCCCCATCCCCGACCTCATCCCAAGCTTCAAAATCTCCCCACCCTCCACCTCATCCCAAGACCAGCCCATCTCGTCCCTGGTACCTTGACCTGTCCGTCTTCTCTCCACCTATCTGCTCCTCCATCCACCATCATCGCCTCCCCCTCTCTCTATTTATTTCAGAGCGCCCTTCCCCTCCCCCATTTCTGAAGAAGGGTCCAGTACCGAAACGTCAGCTTTCTTGCTCCTCTGATGCTGCCTGGCCTGCTGTGTTCATTCAGCTCTACACCTTGTTATCTCAATCTAATTAGCCTTCTCTGGACTGCCTCCAAAGCCAATACATCTTTCCTCAGATTAGGTGCCCTAAGCTGTTCAGTTTTCCAGCTGGTCTGACTAGTAACTTGTACAGTTTCAGCAAGATGGCCCTGGTTCTTTTTTTTAAATTTCAAAGCAAATGGAGTATAAAGGCCAACATCCACTGAACTTGGATGTTAGCTGCTTGTGATTTATGCACAAAGACTGCCAAACCCTTTTGTGCTGCAGCCTTGCTCATTTAAATAATATTCAACTCTTCTATTCATCCTGCAATGTACATAACCTCACATTTCCCACATTTTGTTCCATTTGCTAAGTCTGTCCCTTTTCAAAAGTTCTTGTCTCATCCTCACTACTTGCCTGCCCACCGACGTGTCATCCGCAGACTTGCTGATAGTAAATTCACTTCTGTCATTCAAGTCAATAATATATTTTAAGTACCTGTGGCACTCCAATAGTTACAGGTTGCAATCCTGCTAATGCCCCACTACTTCCAATGCTGTCTTCTATTAATTACCTAATCCTTTATCTGCATTCATATACTATCCCCAATACCATGGGCTTTAACAGAGCCTGGTTATCTAAGGTACTTATGTTCACCTTGGCCTCTCTCTTCTTATATATTTATAGAAGCTCTTATTGGCTGTTTGTTACTTGTTAGTTTGCCCACAGTTTTTTTTGTCATCTTTTGTTGGTTTTTAAAAAACTTTCCCAATCCTCTGATTTATGACTAATCATTGCAATATTATATGCTTTTTTCTTTCAATATTATACTACCCTTCACTTAGTTGGTTAACCACAGCTGGTTATGTTCTAGAATCCTACTTCCTTCCTGGCCTGAGCCGAGCTGCTTATTGTTTGTTTCAATGTTGAAAAGCACTCAAAATTAAAAGAGTTCAGAGCTGTATATTTAAAGCTACTGAAACATCTGATTTTCAAATAATATGATAGGGTTCTTGGACGAGGCAAGGTGGTTTCAATGTCACTCATCAAAATAATTTAATGAGCTAACTGCGGGGCTGTTAGCACCACGTCAGCCATGAGTTTCAACGCTGCCCTTAATTGGTTGCAGTAGACAGTGTTTTTGCTCCTTTATGTTACATTTGTCACGTGACACATGTAAAATTCCAGAGAGTCACGAGTTAGTTTTTACCCTGGTAATTGCTAGAAATTTTAAAACTGGCGTGAGTTCATTTTAAAAATTAAACAAGACAGTACAGTTTAAAAAAAAATTGCTATCTGCCTCATGCCTTGCAGGCATGACATTCCTTTAGCCACCAGGAAAGAAATCTATTCAACTTCAACAGGATTTCTTGCAGAAAGAAAAATAAGGTATACGCTCATTTACAGCTGAGACACAACTAGCAAGAGAAATGTCCTTATTCCTGTTGCATTCTAAGGGTTCGTTCTTGGGGAAAGAGTGTCAGCAAAGGAGTGATTTCTCCTCTGTAGGGTACAAGGCAACAACGACCAACTTCAGCCAATGTAAAATCTCTGCTCAAGACAGGATGAAATTTAGAAATTATAGGGCAGTTTTGATGTCTGCCATAGAAAAAAGCACGAATGAAATATAATATTATTACATTTAGGAAGTCATGATACAATCAGAACCAACTTGTTTCTGTGAAGAGGAAATTCTGTTTGATTGGCCTATTTAAAAGTTCTGAGGAAGTAAGTGATAAGGTGAATAAAGGTAAACCTGTAAGTATGGTGTATTTGGATTTCCTAAAGGTAATGTGCCGCATCAAAGGCTGCTACGCAAAATAAAACCCCATAGATTAGGTGACAAAATACTTGTATACTGGGAGATTTGGATAGTTAACAGAAAATAGGCAGCAGGCAAAAATGGATGATTTTTGAGCTGGCAAGCAGTTACAAGTGAAGTGTCACAGGGATGATATGCTGGCGCCTCAACACTTACAATTTTAAATCAACGGAATGGATGAAGAGACTGAGTCTATGTGGGAAGTAAATTGCCCAGGGGTCAGAGCTTAGATAAGTCTCTAAGCTGTAACTGGGTGGTCAAAAAGAGCCAATAGAGGAAAGCATTGGAATAACCTGACCACTTTAGCCAGAGGAATAGAAAAGCACTATATTGTGCAAATAGAGAGACTGCAGAAGTCTACAAGTCACAGGGATCTGGGTGTCCTTATGCACAAATTACATAAAGCTGGTATGCAGGTGCACAAGCGAAGAAAGGTAAGTAAAGGTAATTTTTGCAATCAAAATCAAGAATAAACCTAGGGAAGTGGTGCTACATCTGTACAGGGCCATAGGGAGACCTTGTACATTCTTAGTCTCCATAAGAAAGGACATAGCTGCAGTAGAAACAATTCACAAAAGGCCCACTCATTTCATAAATATTTTATAATGAAAGGTTGAACGCGTTAGGTCTGTTTCCATTGGAGCTAGGAAAAAAGGATGGGTAATCTTATTGAAATGTATGATTTGAGGGGACTTGACAGGATGGATACTGGGAGGATGTTATTGCTGCTTCCCAGTGTTGATGCCTAGAACTATGGGACAGAGTTTAAAACGTGAGAAGTATCCCACTTAAAGAGGGATGGCTAGGGAGAATTCTTGTGCACTGTTAAGTCTACAGAACTCTCAATGCCTGAAAGCAGTGAAAGCTGAGTCATGTATTCAAGGCTGAATTAGATAGAATTTTAATCAAGTGTGTCACAGGTATGAAGTGAGGGGTGGGGGCAGACAGTAAAGGGGAGCTCAGGTCACAATCAGTTCAGCCACGATTACATCAATTGGTCAGGCTGGCCCTGAGGGGCTGAATGGCCTGCTCTTTAATTCTTATGCTCTGATTCGTGTTCGGCTCAAAAACAAACACTTTGCATCCAAATTATCCATTTCATTTTGAACATCTTCATCATGTCTCCTATTTTACCTTTTCCTCAATAAAAGGTTCATTTCAAATTTCCTATGATCAAGGTGAATGGAAAATGTATTCAATGGCAGAGGCTAAGAACCATAATTTGTATCCTTACCTCAACTTCCACATTTGAACAAGGTTGACATAACGTTAAGAACATAAGCGTCATCCTGCAAGACAACAAACAGTGATGTTTGAAAAGCAAAGTATCTAAGAATTCTTCTGATAGCAAACTGTTCATGTTTTCACCAAAGATGACTGTAAACCTAGCGAGATTACCAAGACTATTCATTTAACAGGTCACTTAAAAATAATTCACCAATAGCATGCATGTGTATTTGAACACACTATACCATGCAGTTTTGGGATTCTAGATTCCCATCAATGAATCACTTCCACCAGCTTAGGCGAGCAACTGGAGATACTTCCTAGTAAAACAAAGCAAATGAAAATGGAACAGCCAAGTAAGGGACATACCCACTGGTGTTAAAGAATGAATAATTGCAGTCAAGGAAGATTATTTGGTTCACCTTGAGTTATACTAGACATTCTCCCCATCGCAGCAAATTAATCAAAACTGAAATGATTTCAGGGTTTTCATTTCTACTACCTTCTCAAGAATGCATCCCATGCAATTGTATGATGTGTGAAAACTTTGATGTCAAACCTATATTTAGTTTTCATTAATTTGAAACTGGATCTATGGAGAGTTGGTGCAGGCTTGAAAGTCAAGATATGGCCATCCTATCCACCAAAATAATGACACACAAAAGCAAAATGCTGGGTATCTGATATAAAAACAGGAAGTGCTAGGAAACCTCAGGTCTGGCAGCATCTGTGAATAGAGGAATAGAGTTAATGTTGAGTCCAATGAGTGTAAAGATGAGAGAGTCCGGACTCAAACATTAACTTTGATGAGTTTCTCCAGGGCTTTGTTATTATTTTAACAATATCTCAGTTGGAGTCTGAGAGATTTAATGAAGAAATCAGACTGAAAGATTGAAAATTCTCTCAAAACAGTTTCACTTTTGAAAGACGTGCACAAGATCAAAAATATCATGATATCTCATTTCCCATATCAAAATGAAACAAAGGCTGTTCCTGAAATTTGAGAGCTGTGTTTTGATTTGAGGACAATATTTTGACTCTTTAAAACTCATTTATTAGATGATGCAGTCATGTAGTAACAACATCTTCTGTATTTATATGACATATGGGATTTTTGGACTCTCATAGAATTAAAGTAATTAAACTCATTAAGAATTATTTAAGTAAACTTAAAGACATAACACAGGAAGAAAGCAATAATTTCCTAGACAACAGTATTTAAGTTGGTGAGACAACAAGCATACATTACCAAGAGTGATTTTTTTTTCCCCCCAAAGTAACCAACGCACACATACACAAACACACAAAGATAATCACCCTAAACACACCTTCCTCTGTCTGGTGAGGTCAGAGCTAATATATTTCCATCATAAAGCACAAAGCTGGAAAAATGTAATCAAGCAGTTACTATCCTTTTCTCTGCATCTCACATCTCAGGTTCAGACTGAAATATAACAATTGACATTATTCATTGCAAACAGGATCCATTACACCAATCACCTACCCCTGAAATATAGCAGTTCCTGAACTTATGCAGCCTTGAAGTAGAAATTCCACATTCATTTCCAAGGTATTTATTATCTCGGATTTCAAGGCTCACTGGCTCCCAGTTAACTGAATAGTCCTGCTCATTGACAAGCTTGAAACTCACAATTCTTTCTTTACAGGTCCCCACCCTTCCCTTCTACCCCTAACTAGCCCCTCTTGTGAAGCCTCCTCCGGAGTTTCCCAACCCTCTCATGTGGCTCTTCTTCTTTCATCCAACATCTCTCAAGCAGTTGGTCTTGCCCCTCATCTTTGCAACTGGGGGGTTAAATAATGCCTACCACTAAAGAAATACTACTACAGAAACTAATGGGGCTAAAAGCCAATGAGTCCCCTGGGCCCAATGGGTTGCATTTTGGGATATTAGAGGAAATAGCTAGAGTGTGGGGGATTCTGGAAAAGTTCCAGAGGATTGAAAAACTGTTAATGCAGCAGTGATAAAGAGATTCCGAGAGAAAGACAATTGGAGTGATGGCTCTGACGGCTTTTGATTAGTTTTGACAGCATACAGCTGGCCAGCGAGTGGAGAATAAGGTTCCCCAGAAGCAGAAGATATTCCAGGCAGACAATGAGATGCCAGTCTATTTAAAAGGTGGTATGATGGATGCTCTGTTCTACAGGCCAACCATGGGCCTCACTGTTGTGTACACAGTTGATGTTATGTATGAACTCTTTGACGTTGCCCTACCCAAGAAGTAGTAATTCAGCTTGCAGCCATGCCAAACCCTCTGTTTCATTCCATTACCCTGTCTAAATGTTAAACTGTAAATTATCAGGGATCTGACTTTTCAAGTGCCTATTCACGGCTTAAGGGAACAGTATTTATTTGATGACATTGCTACATAACTAAGAAATAAATCACTTTTTTCATGTGATAAATCACTTTAAATTTAGAGTTTCATTTCAACTTAAGAGTTGCAAATATTTGCCACCAGAAACTGGAGGATAAATATAATAGTGAGGAGTGAGAACATACTTTCGTAAGCGTGTTTCGCCACTGATGTATCAACTGGGAGACATTCACACCACAGCTTCCTCTTTTACTGTTCCTCATTTGTTTAACAGGAATGCATTTAACGCTTTGCTCCCAGAAACAATATTTTAATCTTATTTATTATTCACAATTTAAAAAATACTGAGTGTATAGTTGAACTTACTACAGGGTAACACCACTGATTCAGATCGCACATTAACCTTACTTTCAAAAGCTGCCTTTTTGTTTTTACTGCAATCAGATTTCACCATACATAAGATTTCCTTTTACCCATTCAAGCTACCCAAGCCAAACAACATTACCAAACAAGGATCCTTTTGGAACGTGCTTCTGCAAATGTTTGGAGACAGGTGCAGTGGTTTTTGCGGAAGTTCATCCTGAGCAGATTCGTAACACGGAACTGTGCTCTACTGGCTATTCCCAGGGACACACACAGAGTCAATCAATAACTAAGCCTGGACCATCAACTTGGTGAAAGATGCTCTTTGGTCTGCTCAAAGTTTATTGATCTCGTTGTAAAGTCATCTTCTCAGCTGACTAACAGACTGGCACATTCAGAGTTTCAGGATTACATGCTTAGAGATGCACTAAACCTTGGGGCAGCTGCTGTAAAGGCCACTATCTAAGTCTGTCATAATATACCTACAAAAGAGCACGTAACTTGTAGAACCCTTGGGCTGTTCACTTGAAAAGGGAATGTTTATAATTAAACGTCAAACATTTGAAATTGGACTGAAGCACTTAATAGTTCAAATTGCTCAATTCAGAACAGTGGTATTTCAATGTATGCTCTATAATGTCCTATTCAAATGTTCTGTGATGTACTTCTCAATATTCTATGAATACCAGTAATTTTGCTACCAAAAACAATGGTGTGGGAAGATCACTTTCTGCTATAAGGTCCCAGGGGCTGGCAGCATATAGAATAGTTTGGGACGTATGTTGTAATGAAACGTTTATAGTTAACAGCATATTTTTTGCAATTGCATTGAGACAATTGAGAAAGTGCACAACTGAGGAGTGTGGTATTTTATTTTATATAGTGTCCGATTTTAATTACTTTGTGACATAACTATACAGATTGGTTAAACATATAGTTTTTGTGAATAAAGTATATTTTTGAAAAAGTTTTCTAGAGTATTAGTTTCAAGTCTCTGCCTAATCACAAGTCAAAAAGCCAGAAAGCACGGTAGATTAGCATAATTTGTCTGAACGTCCACATTGAAATAACTTTCATGATCTAAGTAAGTTCTTAAAGGTAATTCAGATAAAAATAAAATAAACTCTGACATTCAAATCTTAAATGAAAACAAATATTCGGCTATTACACAGTTAATTCAACATCTGGAAAATACCTATGGAAGGAACAAAACAAAAACTTTTTGGATTCTACCCTTTGATGGAATATGTAAAAACTAAAGATAAACAGCATTTGAAAAGAAACTGAACCAAGTTCAGTGTGGAGGAAATAGTTTGTATGTTTCTTATAATCTTTATTTCTTTTGTTATGCTTCTTTTTATTGCCATATTAGTCAGCAATTTAACCATCTCATTTTTCTGGTCATTCTACTTACCACTATTTTATTTATATGGGAACACAGGCAGTAAATATATGTTAGTAGACGTTTGGGGGTGAAAAATAAGTTCTTTCCTGTGGCAAGGTATTGTTCCACAAGTGCTAAAATCTTAAAAACTCCGCTGTGTGCTGAGGAGGAAATAAAGTCTTTCAAATATAACATCCACCACCTGAACTTAGTTGATATTGTTCTTAGAGTTAAAACAATAACTCCTGCAAATGCACCAGCCAGCAGGAAACTATACTGAACTGTAAGTAAGTAACCTATTCATTAATATATGACAGTAAAATTAGTAACAGACCCAGCTTCAAGCTGGATTACTTAAAGACCCAATGACAAAATCATTGGAAATAAACAATTATTTTATTATAAAGACTCAAAATACATGGAATAGGAGCCACAATAGCAACATGACAATTCCCACAACATCTCCACCTCCACCACCACAACAGCAGCTGCAGAATAATAAAGGTTAACTAAATCGAGGAGTTAGTTATTCCAAAGACTAGGATCAATGGCTTCATTCCTTTGAATTGAGAGAAGGTATCTAGACCGAGGATATTGTTTACTGAAACATTAAACAAGAACATTTTTAAAGGTAAATTTTAAATTATGCAAATTAAATACACCACGAAAGCCAAAATTCACACTAAACAAATATTCTACTTAATTTGATTAACAAACATATTTAACGTGAGTTGCAGAGGAAACACGGTCTATGCAAATTCTTCAGGAAGGAAGAAAACAGGATTATTGGACTGACCATAAAAAAGTACTGAAACATGTTAAAAAATTGATTTGAAGGATAAATAGATCAAATCCTAGCAGCTGTTTCTATTCGGTCTCCCTATTTGTAAAGCGAAGTAACCAAGTCTGGGAAAACACGAGTTTGTCCACTTTGTTAAGAATAAAAGGTAGAAGAGAGAGAGACTATAGATTGCTGCAA